GCAATGGTTTACTGGATCGCAGACCCATTCGTTTTATCGTGGGGGAACTACTGTTTTCCACCTGGCTGGCTGCATCCGGCGTTTCTCCCCACAAACCAAAAAAACTTGGTCAAATTATTAACTGAGCAGAAGAAAAATCACAAAACTCAGCCTTGCTGTAGGTTGAAATGCTGGTCGCATCAAATTCTAGACAAACACTCAGCTTTTTCGGATACCTGGAAGATTTAAACTCCCCTTCGAAGCTACTGCTTGCTTGAAAAGCCCAAGGGTACTGCTTTCCATCAAGAGAGTGCCAGGAAGTCACTAACGCAGCAGAAAAATCTCCTGTATCTCCAAAATCCCACAGCACCTATACATTTAACACAAAAACGTTGACTTGGGAAGTACTCCTACAAGGTACAGAAAAAAACAAGCATTACAACTCCCTGCCCACAGACAAAACACGAAAATACGAACTTAAAAGATTTTGTAAAGTCCCAAAGAGTTTTGCTTTGGCTAGGTTTGCCCAAGTTTGTATGCTCGAGTTTTCAGCATCACTCACAGACCTCAAACCATTTGTTTCCACCAAGTGCTCTGTAGCTTGCTCGTGTTCAAACTGCATTTTGGTAGGAACAAACTTGGGCTCATACACTATCTTCCATGCATTTCTCTCTTGCTCACAACATGCCGTACATCCAGTGTACGCCACACTTCATCTCCTTCAGCAGCAGAGCGCAGGCCTACTTTTCTGGTGGATACCAAACATGTTGTGAGATGCTGCTCAAGACTGTCAAGTCTGCTGGGATATCTTTGGTGCACCGAGGGCATGCCAGCTCACGCCAGGCCAGTGGTCTTATCATTCAGCATGTTTGGATAGACAAGGTTTGAGTCAGGCACCCTCACCCCATGCTTAATTTCTTCCTCTGGTAAGCCAAGGGGCCCCTGAGCTTTTGCCAAAACAAAGGCATGCATATGACCTAAAATTTGGGCATTAAACCCAGGTCAAACCTTTGGACAACATGCCTCTTAAGGCCACGCTTACTACAACCAGAATTTTAATGCAGATTTCAAGAAATATGCCTTCCACCACCTCCAGCTTGCTCCCTCGCTCCCCAGTGGCTGTGGGTTCATAGCTCGCTATGACCTTCCTCCCTCATTGTACTTGCAGTTCAAAAGCAAACAAATCTCCCGCCCTTCCTCCCATGCCCGCTGCCCATCGTGCTCACTCCCCTGCTCCGAATTCCTTTTCCATTACTTGACTTCCACTCTGTGCACCCCACCCTCGTGCCTGTACTCGCTCGTCGCGATAGTCCAACAAAGCCAAGGCTTCGCCCCTCAATTCTCCATTCGCTTTCTGCTGGCAGCCTCTCCTTCGCCCTGTTGCCTCTCACGTGAGAGGTACCCAGCAATGCACAGGATGGCAGCACATTACCAAACAGTAGAAACAACACAGTATCACATCTTCAGTGCTTTAAACATGTTTTTCCATTTTTGCAACACCATGTTTCAGGTTCAAAAACAGCATCTTGGGTTTTTTCAGCGTGGAAAGTAACCTGGCTTTCAGAGTCGAAATGGAAAAAAGTCTTTGTCATTGGAAACGTGAAAAAGAAACCTGATATAACGAATAAATTCCCCCACTGGAACAATGTGCTCAGTACAGATTTCTCATTTCAACACATGGCCCTGCTATTTACCACATTGAAAGCAATTTGGTTTTCTGATGTTACAATACTTGCATTTTCATAAAGGCAGTACAGGCTGCCTGACACCCAGACAGGGACCCTGTGCTACTTGTGCTATGGCCAGGTGAGACGGAGGGGTTACATCAGCAAGATCGTGCATGCCTCCCTCTCTTCTGCATGTATTTTGGTAAGACTCCTTTAGTGTGGTAACTGAATACCTGGCATATTCATTAGCCTAAGCAGACTGTTCCTTCTCAGCCTGCACAACAGAAAACCACGCCATTTCAGCTGCATACATATTCTACTCAGAGCAAAACAGGTACATTTTGTTAGTGTAACAATCTTTTTATTTCAGTTACTTTTTCACATATAATTTTATGTAAGCTACAAAAATCGTGAAATGCAGAAATGGTATTAAAACTGCAAACTTAAAAGTTTTGATAAAAAAACATGTGTCTTTCCCTGCTAACAATGACCATTTAAAACGAATCGTATTTTGATGGATTCATTTAATAAACATACCATACACTTCTCAAAAATAAATAAAGAACAACATCAGAAAAACCAATACCATCAACAACATGAAGCATTTAGTTGTCTTTTTTTTTTTTTCCTTTAAAGACAAAAATGAAATTTCTAGGCACAGTTTTAGGCATTATAGAGGACACAGAGGCAATAGGTTAGTGTGCACTGCTCTGTACAAAAATACAGTCTGAATAAATTACATTGCTAGCCATAAGATTAGAGTTCACTTACCAGTCAGTTCATTGCATGTTTAATAATATACAGTTACATGCTAATCCATATATATCATTTATATTTCAAACACATAGGTCTCTCTATATTTGTTTTGAAAATTTACAAAAGCTAAACGAAGTTGTGCAAGAATTCCAGAAGAGGTGCCAGGTACTTGTCAGCACCAGACAGTATACTTTAAGCTTAAAAAATACAAATAACTAGCCCTGCTTGCAAGTTTGCTATACATATATTTATTCATATATATTTGGAAGAAAAACAATGGATTTGTTGTGTGAGAGAATCATCCTGCCAGTGAGATAAAGCTAAACAACTGAAATAATGGTGGCATGACAGAAGCTCAACATACAAAATAATTAATTTGTCGTACGTACACTCAAGACAGATATGTATCCTTTTCGTGTCTGGAAAAAAAAAATCAGCATAATGTTGTATTTTGGAAAAACGGGGAAGGGGGGGGGGGGGGGGAATAAATGGCAGTAGCAACATAAGCTAAAGGTAGGTACCTAAACCCACATACTAGATGCCCAAACGCAAAGGACCTGAGGAGTTTGAGAGGTGTGTCCTAATAGATTGCATTATCTTCAAGAGAAAAAGCAGGTGTTGAGACTGAAAATCAGATCTCTGATGCCAAAATGGATGAAGAACCTTGTCTTTAGGCATTCATGTTTGTAGATTTTTTTGCCTGAACACCTTTCATATTAACAGCCGGGTGACTTTCAGAGCTCATGCCATTAATTTGTATATGCCGTATTTTTGCTCAAACTCTACATAAAACAAAATGATTTGATAAATTAGTGGATACGATATGGGTTCAGCACTGTACCTTCCTGTTAGTGTAGGCAAAGTGCCATGCAGTGTCAGCACCAAAACACCGTCCCCCTAGAAAGGTACAGCAATCTTCTCACAGTGGTCTTCTCTATGTTAACCTAAGTCCTATGCCAAACTACAACGCTCTCCATGCTGCTAAATAAAAGCAGAACTACACAGCTGTTCAGAAAGATACAGAGTTAACTATATACTGAATATCCGCCTTAAGTCAGTCTCAGGAAAAAAAGAAATCAGAGTTCCAAAGACACTCTGGCACCTGTGAAACAAGTGGACATAATTTTTTCTCCCATCCTTTTTGTTCTCCTGGCATTGCCACACAATCCCTTTCAAGTCAAGCTATCATTTTGCTCCATCTAATCTAATTAATCACCACTGGTCCTGGAAAGACTGTTGATATGGAATATTCTGCCACGGTAGCAAAGATTTAACTCCAGAGAGCCCCAGAGTTTTATAAACCACCTCCATACATCAGCAATACTTTCACAACAACCTCCTAAAGGCAGCCCTGCACGCCCACGGTCATTGCAGAACCTCTGTGCCCTGTGGACGGTGGCACTGGCACTGACACTGCAGATGCAGCCTTAGCACCAAGTAATTCAGCAGTCTTTTCTGTGGCACCAGCAAAACCGTTTGTATAGAGGTGGATGTCCAACCCCAGCATTTCTGCTTTTGCAGAGGTCCATATAGAATATATTTTAAATTTCTCCATTAAAAAAAATAGTTATTTCTAAAGATTAAAACTGTATAAAAATATGTTCATAATTAATTGAAAATATCCAAATAAGCAAATCGTAAACAAAAATAAAAGTGATGCGGATTAAATTCATGTAAAAGTTCTCCCTATTTAATCTTGGGTTTCATCTCAGGTGTACAGTCTCTAGATGTTTTTAAGTGGGAAACATGCTAAGCAAGGAGTAATTAGATGTACATAATCATCAGCCAGACCATTATAAACTCAGCCTTTAAAAACAAGATATTGCCTCCCGTGGTGCTAATGGTTTAATATGGACATGATGGGGTCTCAGCTGTATTCCTGATGATCAGAGACACTCGCAACCTAACAAGATTTTTAAAAAATGGCAGTTTTTTTCTTTGCAACAGCCTTAGAAAACAATTTTTAGTAAGTACTAGATTACACATGGAATAGCAAGTAGTTATTTCATCCAGCACTACCTTAACTTGATGGCTTAACTTTTAAGCATTTCCCATAACACAGAGTCTGTACAAGGGCATATACAGAAGACAAACCACTTTATGTTTATTTTTTAACACCAACCAAAATTGGAGGTACCAATCCAAGACTCTCAAGAATGTGTACAATGTTAGTATTTTAACCACTGCATCACAGCTCATATTACAATTTTAAGATGAACCATCTCTCTCCCTCTGCATTTATATTATATATATTCATTTATACTAACGAATACCTTTCAAAAATATAACTAGACTTGTTCCATATGCATTCTTTTCATGACAATTTTCGGGAGTTAAATGGGTACTTAGGACAACTGCAATTCATTCATGCATTTCAGATGCCTCAGGGACAGATGAGGTCTTTTTCTACTCCCCTTTATCTCCACCCTCCCAGCAAAATACTCAGAGCAGAGACAACTTCCAGCTACACAGTCAGAGGCACATGCCTCCAGGTTTGGACTTCCTTCAACAATCTGCTACAGCTGGCACGGTGATGGCAATTACCAATTCATGAAATCCTGCGTGGCTGGTGGCTTGTTGGTTTTGGGGTTGGGTTTCTTTTTATTATTCTCCCAGAAGACTGTTGAATGCAGATATTAGACAACTCATTAACCAGTTACATTCACTGCCCTCAACACCGTCACTTGCAACTAATTCCTTCAGAGCTTTTTTTGAGCAAGTAACAAGGGGCCGACACAGCCTATTGTACAAGATGCCATTGCCTGCTTATCAGACATGTGAATCCTCTATGATACAGGGAAACTTCTGAACGGAGCCTGTACCAGCTGCTCCCCTGAAGGCAATAGCAGATGCTGGCACTGCATTCTCATTCCAACTAGTTTTCTCACAATGATCGCTGTCACGTAGATCCTTTTGCTTGCTGTCAGGAAAAACGAAGCTTATGTATCAGCAGCTTGCAGCATCTGCCTATGTAAGATCAGCAATCCTACTGTTTGCAGTTCTTTTAAATGGTTGTAATAGCTGGTTATAGTGTTCACACCCAAAAGGCAAAGGCTATTTTATCAACAGAGCAGACTGTTTGGTGCTCCACAAGTGTTCTAAAAAAACTGTGAGTTAGAAAAGATGGGGTAATCCTTTTGTTACTTCTCTTTTCATTAAATGATTCTAGTAATAGTCTTCATAGTTCTTAGGGTTCAGGCAATAAAGAATGGCACCCCCAAATGAAAATATAGTTGCACCCCAAGCCAGGCCATAGCCCCAGTTGAACTCATGGTATATTTTCAAGCTGACCGTTTCGATGAACTTGATTGGATACAGGACTAAGCTGCACACCTGAAGAACAACTGAAAGAGGAAAAAAAAAGACCAAAATATCAGAAGCAGCCTTAATTCATTTCCATAAAACAAGGAGAACATTGCACAACTGAAATTCACATTTAAAATGCTCTTGGTGCATTTTTAGCTTGAAAGTACTGCTCTTTTGGCAAAAAATATCACGTTCATTTCATCCACAGAGAACAGAGCAGTTCTTCCATACTCCCTTGTTGATGAACAAATGTTATTGCAATAGTATAATGATGATCCTTCAGATGCCCAAGAAATAAGCAGTGAAAGCAATCTTTTCCCATTTCTTTTCTGTCTCCTTTGTATTTTCGTTTGCAGTTATTATTCCTTCCATAATAACAAAACTAAGATCACTTATTCTGTAGCAATTATAAATAAGTCAAAACAGAGAGAAGCAAGAATAAACGACTATTATGAAAACACAGCTCAGAATCCAATAATTTACTTAGCCTAGAAATAATTCATTGTAGTAGGTGATACTTATTTATGTTCAGTAGAGCCTCAGTGAATTACATATTTCATATGCGTTACTGTGTACTGTAATCAAAATTAATGATCTTGTTATGCAGAATACCAAAGAATCTATAAAGTTTGATCAGTCACTAAAATTCCAACTGGCAGAACATTGCCTTGTATTATGAATTTAGAGGGTGGGTCAGAAATGCTTCATGATGAATAAAAGCTAATAAAACAGACCAAACCCAAGGCAGTAAAAAGCCTAAAAATCATTAGTTTCTACAGCACTGTCTTCGAGAGCCAGATCTCCTGCAGCCTGATCCACATGTCTGCAGTGGAATTCAGCAAACCTATTAATTACTGCGTTACATCAAAAATACCCACACGCAGTAATCTGAAAAGGAAAGTACACAGATGAAGAAACCCAATTTTCACAAGAAGATTTCAGTTTCATCAGCGTCCATTCACTTTTAAATTCAGACGCACTGTCAACAGAAAATTGGGACAACAGTTTCCAGGGTAAGCAGGTGAAAATTATACTTGGTTTGAAGACAAGAACAATCAGGCCTCTAGTTCTGCCACCCACAAAAGACTAAATACCCCAGCAATGCCCAAAACATCCTTTTTGCCCCTCAAATAAATGATACGGCCTTACCGCAGCACTGCCTTCTAGCATTTGACACCAGCAATTTTTAAAGACTTCAGCATGTGACTGCCTCTGCCAACTACCCCAGCCCCCTGATTACAGGCAGGGTGGGCACATCCACAAAGCTAAACATATCCTTAGGTATCTGCAGCCCCGAGGCATACTCTGACGAAAGTTCAATGCTATGCAATGTAATACCATAATAATGACTTTCTTTAACACTGACTGGGCCATTTTTTACAGTTTATTAAGTATTGTAAGAAGAATGAACACTATTCAGAGAATTGCTATAAAGCCAGCACCAATGTAAAATGCCAGTAGATAACAGAAAAGATGACTGCTTCAGACTACAGAAGACCTTCTGAAATTACACTGAGAAATTACAGGGAAATAAAATAACGTTAATTATATTCTCCTACCGCTTGAACACTTCGCACATTCAAAATCTGTCATTTACCTTTTCAGTCTCACATGCACTCTTTTGTGTTGTCAAACTGACACCTTTCATTAGCCCTGGACACTAATGCTCTCCTGTCCTCTGGATGGGGACTGGTACAGGGAAATGATTTCCAATGTTCATTACACACCTTTGGTGATAATGCTTTACAAAACACTCATCGGAAATTTCATCTCCCCTCCTCGTCCACTTAGCCTACAGACTAGTCTTTGGACTCGTGCTTGAGACTGACAATCTGAATAATGTTTGGATAGTGGATTTTCTGATGTGGACACCAAAATCCACAGGACTTTTCTTAATCCTAAAGTTATTGAAGTGTTACTTTGTGTTATTCCATTTTAATATAATTTTTGTCTGCCAGCTCAGAAAATACTGCACAACACTGGAGAAATTTTGACAGGGTACACTAGGGGAAGCGCCTAATCTTATGAAAAGATTATGTATTCCAATTCTGTGTAATGATCACACTGAAAACCACCTGAATACATGCTCATCTTTCAGACACATCTTTAAGACTATCCAAAGTCAAAAAGGATTTCCTAAAATGAATGGATACAAACAAGTTCTTCAGTGGCTTCCCGAACTGGGGCTGCAGCATCTGTGCTGGGTCAATACAGAAACTGCGCTGTCAGAATGGAAAGATACATCCTCCAAGTACTCTCCAAACACTGTCCGCTGTCATTTTTTTTACTCCTTCACCCATATACTTTCACTTAGCCACTGCTTCCCTAGCATACACATAAGAACATCCTGTGAACTGTGTTAAAAGCTTACTAACCTCAACAGGCTGTTGTTCTAAGCATTGTTAAAACAGCCCCAGAAGTCAAATATCTTTTAAATTACATTTTCTTTGCTTCTACGGACTTTTAACAATTACACTTTCTCTTTCTACCTCTAAATTAAAAGTCATTTAGCACTCAGTTATCTGGTAACTATATCATGACACTGACAAGTTTATGAGATTGGACTTTAAAGATGCTGCTTTCAGGGCCAGTTTGGTGCATGAGCACTAAGACACTGCAGCAAGTATGTAAGACAGTGACCTCTACTAGATCAAAAATGTTGCAAAAAGCTGTATGAGCCAAGGCGGCTCTGCAAAAGTGCGTCCTGCAACTGCCTCTGTGCTCCATGTTTTTCTGTTATCTGCTCCTCCTCGCATTACACAGAGCTGACAGTATGTATTTTAAACACATTCACATCTGTTGATCGCTTGCTGCCTTATTCCCAGTATCTGTGTCGATTTTTCTTTTGTCTCTTTGCTTTATCATCTGTTCCAGCCCCAGACAGTCAACTTTCTTCCTCACCTACAGAGTCACTAACTGAAACCTGAAGCTGGGAAAAAAAGAAAACAGAAAACCAAAACTGGAAGAAAAAAAATGCCTGGAGCCAACTGTTTGGACTCTAAAGTGCCTGGAAACCACTTTTCCATTTTGTCCATTCTCCCACATGGTGTCGTTTTCTACCTGACACCCACACAGATCACTTAAATGTCTCTGGGCAATTCATCCTGTGTCCTTCTTCCAGAGGCAGGGAGAAGGCACCTAACCAGAGTCGTACCGAATATTTTGTCATGCCAGCACATTTGCAGGTCGGGGCGGTTACCCTTAAAGATCGTCTGTGAAATCCACACGTGAAGGTTTTGCACAATTCTTTCAAGATATGCCAGTCCATATTCACCTCTAAAAATAGCTGACATCAAAGACAAATTCGGTAGGAAATGACACTAACAATGTCAGCGTCAAATCCCAAAAGGGTTCTCCTCAGATATGCCAGATAATGAAGAAGAATGGGGCAGGCTGTCATGGCCTCATCATCTCTCTTCTTGTATCGTTCAGGTCACAGCTGTTTAAAATGCACGTGCACACACACAGGGGTAAAGGAAAGAGGTGAACACCTATACAATTTCATTTCTGATGCAAGCAAGCATTAAATCTCCCTTCCCCCAAGACTAGAACTAATTTTATAAAGAGGAGAACAGATCAGGCTTTAAGCCAAACAGCAGGATTTAGGGAAATTTTTTGCTTTGCTTCTTTTTTTAGTACAAACAACTATATACTAAATAAGCAATATGACAAGCTAGGCAGGGTATGGCTGAACAATTACTAAGTTACTATACTTACAAGAAATTAAGTCAAAAGCCAAATAAGAAATCACTACAGAAATTCAATAATCCCATTTCTTTTGAAGTTAACTTCCCGGCATGCTTTATAATCTCAGAATTAATACCAAATTTCAAGATAACGGCACCAGTTACTTCATTTGTTCAGCCAAGCGTAGAACAAAAACATAGAACAAAAAGATACGATTTCCACTCAGGAAATCTGACTTCGGCTGAACTCATTTCCTAAAAGCAAATTAAATATAACCTACCAATATCTCCTGAGCAAATCAAAGTGCATCTCAAAGCGCTGCGGCTCGGCCAAGGTAACGTTAGCAGCAGGGGGCAGCAGGAGCCTTCCCCCGAGCTTTGTTTCACTCCAGAACACCCTGCAAATTCTGCGCTCCTATCTTTTCATATCCTCGTGAACGGCTTTTTTTTAATACACCCCAAAGACTAGGTCCTGTCATCCTCTTCATTATGGGCTATCAGAAGGGGCTTAAGCTGCCGGCTCCAATGCAGATATGAGTGACAGGATGAAGGCAAATCATGCTTGGTGAATCTCAGGAGAAACAGAAACATCCGTGCTGACTAAGCCCCGCAACACCAGAACGTACAAAAGGAAATGATTTGATATTGTAATTGTACCTCACTGGACCAGTCTTACAGGCAATTCAGATTCATAGGTCTCCCTTAAGATTTTGTAACAGTTTACATAAATTGCTCCATTTTCATGTTTTTAAAACCAAATAGGGACTACACTGTGACAGCTTGTTAAATTAATAACTAAGCAAGCAAGCTGACACAATGAAATTAATTTCTAATGGCACAGGGTCATATATAAACACCTTGCAACATAATCGTGTTTATTTTCACACGCAGGGCTTCAAGGGTTCACATTTGGGCATTAATTTTCCTCTTTTAAAATTGTAAAAGGAAGAACATTAAAATAACAGAAATGGCTTTGCACGAGGAATAAAAATGGGGTCAGCCAGCAGCACACAGTCACAGGTTAAAAACGGTACTTTGAGATTTATCCTCTGTAGTTTCCCCCCTGATGCATGTACGTCACAAAACAATAAATATAATGCAAATAAATAACTGTTTATGAACTAATAATAGTGCAACTGCAAAAATGATTAATGATGTGCAGAACCAGTATCCTGAAAAACCCCACCGGAGTTAACACAGAACTAAACCAAACGCCTCTGAATTAGTATGCAGAACAAGGCACGTCTTCCTTCACAACACAGAGGCTGCTCTCATAAAATTTTCGTAATGGTGCTGATAATCTCCTTACCTGCAGCAAAGAGCATGACTGCAACTGGCCTGTAGAACCGCCGCCGAGATCCCACGCAGATAGAGATCAACCCAACCAGGAAAGCTATGAGGATGATGGCAGCACCACCCAACAGTAAAGCAAGAGTAGCTATCTGCCAGTCTAGAGGGAAAAAAATAACAACACAGCTTCAGTAACACAAGCCCACAGGCCTGACAAAAACAGCAGAATATAAAGAACACAGCGGCTGTATCAAGGCTCGGGTAAATACACAACCGTGCTTTCCATTTCTTTTCTCCTAATTAGTGAAACACCTTTACAAAACAGATGTAACTCAGGAGCAAAGTGCTGCAACCTCCCACACTTTTGCAAGGCTTAGTTGGCCTCGCTGGGATTTTGACTCGAGTAAGACTGAATAATTTGTTCCCCTGTTTTTTGTCCAATTTAGAATGAGAAATTGAGGCTGGGTCAGGATTAGCTAGCGTGTGTTAGCTGACCCCCAGTCTGTCGTAACTTCCTCACAGAAGAGAGTGAAAGTCAAACCTCTACTTGAGCTCATCAGGATGACAGAGGCAGGGAAAAGCATGGAGGCTCATCATATACACCTGTCACTTGGGAAGTACCAAGGACACATATTATGAGTAACAAAACTAAGGCAAAGGAAGGAGATGCTCAAAGGAATAATAATAACAAAAAAAAATTTCAACACTAAAACCAAGTCAAGCTCCTGTAAAGGCAGTAACAATCCTTAGATGCAGACTGAGTGAAATCTGAAGTCCATTTCAAAACGTGTGTTATCCTAAAGCGTCAGTTTTTCTTTTCTTCCTGCAAAAGCAACTTCTGGATTTGGCCCAGTGTATCTTCTAGTTATTTTCATACATAATGGATGCAGTTACAAACAATATCCTTGTAGTCTTATAAATCACACAGAACAAAATCCATTTGAAAGCTGATGGCCATCATGGGTCTACACAACATCCAAGATGTAACTTAAGGCCTTCTGTAGGTTTTTAGAAAGACAAGGGCTTTGTGCTGTCTTTCTTTGCAGAGGAGTACATAACACCTTGTCTCTCTCCAATAATGGGCACCAAGGAAAAGATTCAGACCACTGTTTGCTGTTTATGACTACTATTTAGTAGTTCAAGGAAGATGACCTAACATCAGCATGTGGGAAAAGGAGCTACAGATCCAATGCACCTCTCATTACTTTGAAAATACTAGCAGCCATACAATATTCAGCATAAAACGTCCAAATGCATTACATAGTTCAAAAAAAATGAGATCAATTATTTGCAAAATAAATTTACAGATCTTAAGGTCACTAAAATAAGAACAACAATAAAAATCCATACCCTCTTTTCAAAAAGAGCAAAAGTGTCTTATAAAATAGTACACCCAGTTTCAAGATGGATCTAATCTGCTGAAGATACCAACAGTGCAGCTGTGGGGTTTGGGAATGAAAGGCTGGCAGCATTAACATCAAAAAGCTTTCACATATTATATGAACAAGGATCAAGGAGATTAAAAGAAGAAAGTGAGTAGAAGAGCTATAAAAGCATTGCTAAAATAGAAGTTATTTTAAAGGCATGTTTTTGCAAGTACACACATCTATTTTCATTCTTTTTATAAATCCAGGCATGTTGCTAACTGATATTTTAATTACTAAGCACTCAACCTTCCAAGCTATTTTACTCCTTGTTTTCTTAGTGGACCAAACCCAAGGCTACGAACAATCTCTCATTCTCCTACCTTCAGCATGCAATCTCTAATATCAGTTTGCTGTGTGTCCCCCTGCTTTACTATTATTGAGATGGAAATATGATTTTAGTTATGGACGGGAATACTATGAAGAGTGGTTTTTAATGTTGAAAGGATCCTTCAGAAACACCAAGTGCTTAGTGTACCAAAGATTTAGAAAGTATTCTTCCAATATCAGAGTGCATTACAGACATAAAATACAGAAATAAATAAACAGAATGGACCACTTTGGAACAACATGAAAGAATCCTTGCACTAGAAAATTACACAGATACAAAAGCTAGACACATAAATCCCTATCACCCCAAAGTTAAAAGCCATACAAAATTGATTAAATAAATCAAAGTGCCAGATACAAAAACTCAGAAACTAAGATTTTTGAAAGCCACTACAAATAATAAAATACTAAATGTTACCTTCACATTGATCAGACACCAAAATCTAATGCAAACAAAAGGTGTGCAACACTGGAGTAGCAACTAAATGGAAAAAAACATTGAGTATGAGCAATATGCTTTCCAAAACCACACTGGCAAGACTACCAAACAAGTGAAAATATCTCAGGCAAAGATGATACAAGCATGGAGTTAGACTATAGTTTAACTTCCAGGATAGATATATCTATGTATTTTGGAAAGGTTAAAAAAAATAAACCAACTACCTTACTATAGTACTGATGTGGGAGGTAAAAGGACAAACGAGTGTTGGAAGACACCTACACTCCCAACTAAAAAAAGAACTGATTTAGTTAAAATTAATTTCTTGAGTAAGAGAACCTACTCAGTGATGCTGACAGCAGGACAAAACGGAGGCTCTTAATGTTCCTCACTACTAGCTGAGTATCAGGTATTGAACGTTGTGCTCTGGGCCACAATGTCTGGAATCGCCTCTTTGTTTCAGCCCCAGCCTCCATTCACAGGCGCCTACAACGCTACCAGCCTTGGCCTTGGGCTGCAGCTGAGAGGGATTCTGGTTGAAGAACATCAGGAAGGTCAGATATTAGAGCACAAAGAATACCAGACTGAATTATCCTATATTGCCTACCATGGAAACTGCATGTGTAAATCATCTTGTCATCTTAGAAAAACGTTAACTTTCAATTCTGAAAGCCATTAGATATGGTGACAAAATAAAGCTTACGTTGGATTAAGGGAGTAAAATCTTCTGCATAGGCCCTCTACTTAACAGCAATTCTTTTTTAAGAAAAAATCCAGGCCGCTGGACTTTATACAAAAGAAAACAAACATCCAAAGAAAACTGAATCACCACCTCTGAAGGAAGAAGTAAGTTAGACAGCTACAGCAATATAACCACAGACAGCAAACACAGTGCACTTTCTACAATAAAAATCTGTAGCTTTCCTCGGACTACCCAGGAGTGATTTATAACACACAGCATCAAAATGAGAACAACAGATTGCTCTGTTACATAGTGTTACTGGTACACAGAACATAAACATCACAAGCCTACTTTAATATATCCAAAATATGCTTGCACCATTTCTAGGCATGCAACAATCTTGCAAATAAGTCACTAGTTCAGGAGCCTCGGCAGTTCAATGAGACTGCTTGTTCTCACAGAGACAGAAACGTGCATAAACATGAGCAAAATGGGACCTTATAGATGATAATTATTAGTTTCCTGGATTCAAAACACAGTTTGGTTACACTTTAAGAATGCACATTAGTCTTCTTCACTGTACATCGCTACAGTTCATTTACACCGCACATTCACTATCTCAGAAAAATGTTAGGAACCAGTAAAATCGCACTCCCATAAATCTTAATAAACCTGTAGATCTTAAAAAGCACTGTCATCTCACAGTCATGTCCAAATTAAGTTGCTTTGTTAGTTTAGAACTGTAGAGTCAACAGAAAGCATAACTTTAGATTTTTTCCCAGTGTTCTACCATTTTAGCAATATGTTAAGAATTACACTGATACTGCCACCTATCCCATCTAAAAACCAGAATTAACACATTTTCGACAATCATTAACTCAAGACAGATTTCTTAAGAAAAGCCTCACTTAATGTATACTATTTTTAGGTCTGAAAATCCAAACATGTTTTTGTACAGCACAAGAAGCATCACAATGTCTATAACCATGGGAAATATATTCTGCAGTTCTGATGGTAATTATAGTGTTTGCATAATTTTTATTACAACAATCTGCCTATTAGTTTAGGGATGTGGATTTCAATATTTGGAAATATATATAAAAATGAACCTAGGTAGAACACATTTTCAAAACATAGATGGTGCAAATTTATTAAAATTACCATCTTCTTTAAAAAAAGAATAAATAAACCCCCAAACCATGATGACAATGTTTCTTTTCAGTTAATTCCTCATACATAAGTTGTAAGGACAGCTTGGTCTCATCACTCTTTGGAAATTCTGCCTGTTTCTTAATGATACAATTTGTTAATTGCACATTGAAATATGTGACTCTCCTCCCTTCTACCCCCAAATGAAATGACCCAAAGCTTTAAGTTGTATACTCATTTTTACTTAAGAGCAGCTCTATCTGCTCTATTTCTTGGGCAAAACAGTATTTCAGTACTAGGATAAAATCAGGAAAAGTCATAAAAGAAGGAGAAAACATCTCGAAGTTCTGAAAATGTTTATTTTCATAACTAGGTCATTTTTTAACATGAGAAAGAGCAACACAAAAGACTGGCATTGTCATAGATTTCAAGTTTTCAGCAAGTTCCCCCAACATTAAATATTTTATTTGCACAGTATTCTATAGTAAAGGAAGTGCACACTGCAGAATATGTGAAACATTTGTGTGTAAGGCTCTTAAGAAACAATCAAGTATTCCTTTCTTTCATACAATGCTTCTCACTGAGTCCTCTTCTCAGAGGCTAAAGTAAGAAAACACATGCAGCTGTTACATGATGAAGGTAATCACTGACCTCCTTCTAGCACTAAGCAAAACCTTGGTAAGTAATAAAACACAACACTCCTAGGTAAGTTTCTCTGATTCATTGCAAAGCTTCCACTTATGTACCTGCCATCAGTCAATAAATACTCTTAGAAATTGTAATGTAGCATTTAAATTCAAGAATAATGAATCTGAAAGAATGTGTCAAGTAAATCAAAGAAAGTTGAGGCACCCACACGTAAGAAATTAAATATAATCCACTGAATGTCATAACAATCAACTAAGATAAATAAGATAGCTAGATATTCCTAATTGCTTCATATTCAAAATTATTTCCAAGTTTATTAACACTCATCAATTTAGCCATCAAATAGCCAACAAAATTTTAAAAAGTGTAGCGATCATATAAACACACAAAGGTAGAATCTAGTTTCCAAAAGTGCATTTGTCGCACGATCAGTAAGATTTCCTTTCTTCAGCACAATCAGACGCACAGACTTCTGTGAAAAGCCAAGC